TTTAATTACAAATATTTTTAATGTTTTTGATTTTAATAAGCTTTGCTTAATATTAAGTTGAATTCTTTTTTTATAATTTTGTTGTTTTTATATTAATTTATTCGTGAATTATAGTTTACGAGCGGAATTTCTTTTTAAGCTTTTTTTTAATTTAGCATTTATTTTAGCTTGTATGCTAGCTATTAGTTTTTCGAGTCTTCGACCAAATCCGACTTGTCTTTTATAATAATAATCTGTCTTTAAGTAAATCGATCGTAGTTTTAAAAAAAAGCTTTTATTATACTATTATCGAAGTAAGAAAAAGAGAGTTAAGATTTTAAAAAGAAAAGCATGCTTAAGATAACTTCGTAATTGCTATTATTAATAATAAAAAAATCGGCGTAATTAATGATCTCGTTAATAATAATTTCGACGTCGTTTATCTACTTATCGAAGTTATAAAGATCTTCGGATACGGTTATATAAATTAAAGCTTAATCCGTTATAATAAGTAGTTTAATTATTTTAATTATCTTTTTATTTGTTATATTAACTTTAGATCTATTATCGAAAAAGGATTTGCTTTTGATTATACCGTCGATATTAATAAAAACTTTTAAGGTTTTTATCGTTACTTCGAAGCAATTGCGAGCGATAAGTTGTTTACGAATTTGCGTCGCTAAAAGGTTTAGTTTACTTTTTTTATTCCGACTTAAACGTTTAATAATTAAAGCGTTTATAAGAATAAGCTTATTTTAAAAGACCTTTACGTTTTCTTTAGCATCGAGAACTATTAAAATATAATAGCTTAATAGCTTATCGAAGCGAGAGCTAAGTTCGAATAAGTTTTTAATTTAGATTTCGATTTTCGATTTTATAATCGCCGCTATTAATTTTTCTTAAGCTTTAATAATAACGTAAAAGTTAATAAACTTCTTTCGTTTATAAGTCTTTTTCTTTTTTCTTTTTAGCACTTGCTAAATGATCTCAACTTCTTTTTTTATATTTTTTATAACTTCGTCGGCTTTAGCTAATTTAAAAGACTTTTTCTTAATTATATTATCGAATAACTTATCTTTTAAGTTTATTTTAATAGCAATATTCGATTCTTAAAAGGCACGGGCTTTAAAAGTGCCGTAGTTCTTTTCTTTTTATTATCGGATATTCTTTTTAATTTTAATAAGCTTAAGTCTTTTCAAAAGCGGAAAAAGCTTTTTAGCTTTATCTTTTGCGGCAACGTTGATCTCGACCGAAGCGACTTTTATGCTAGATAAGTAACTAAGCGTATTAATCTATTTTATAATATTGATATTTTTAATATCGATTAATCTTTTAAAGATAATAATAAGCTTATTTAACTAATTAATTAATCGTTAAGCATTTTGATTTAGCTGATACTAAGCTGGCTATTAGATTAGTTATTAATAAGAAAGCAAGTGTTTATAAGTCTTAAGTCCGCTAGTAAGTCGATTTTTTAAGATATTGTTGTATTTCGTTTTACGAACGTTTAATATAATAGATTTAAATTAAATCTTTCTTTGCTTTTTTTAAATAATAAAAACATCGATTCTTTTAAGTTTTAAACAAAAGCGTTCGTAATTATTAATGTAAATGCATTTTTTATTAACTATATCTTTAAAAGCTTTATATTTATTTTAATATTAATAAAGAGCTTAAGTTGTGTTTTCGGAGTTTTCGCAAAAGCTATAATCTTGTATTTAATTTTCGTATTTTTTACTTTTTTTTTTTCGTTTTTATAATTTATAGCCGATAGCAGTAATATAAACTTTATTTTCGAAGCTAACTTTACTTCGAGCATTTTAAGCGGTATACTTAACAAAAGTTTCGTCGTAGTCTTCGAATCGAATTTAAAGCTAAAATTAAATAAAGCGTCGAGTAGTTAAGTTAGCAACTTAGTTTTCGAAGTGATTAATCCGATTATAAATCGCATAAATCTATAATTTAAAAACTTTTTAATTATAAAACTTATTTTATTAATTTTTTTTTATTCGTAAACCGTAATTTATAAGTAAACGGCATTATTATTAAAGCTTTTTTAACGGATTTAAGCAGGCTAGCTAACTCGGTGTGCTCTTTAATTAAAGTTCGAATATTCTTAATAAAGTTAATTAAAAAAGACTTTTCTTAATTTATAGCTTTAATAATCTTAGCACTTTGGTCGGTCTTAAAAGCGAATGCGGCGAAGTCGTTAAAAGCGGTATAAAAGTTTAAGTCAAGTTCGTCGACTTTGCAATACTTAATCGTTTTGTTTCGGATTCCGACGAGCAATTCGAAAAAGAATAAACGGCTTTGTTCGGTCTTGCTTAAAAAGTATATTAAAATAAGCTTTTCGAAGACTTAAAAAAAAGTGCGATAATAGTTTCTTAAGTTATTAATATCTCGTTCTTGCATAGCAAATTATTATAAAAAAGCGATCGAGTTTTTGATTTGCTAAGTATCGTTTTTACGAAACTCGGCTTTTAAAGCTTTAACGAAAGCAGCTTAATCTTTCTTAGCTTTTTATTCGAGCAAGCTTTTAATAACTTTTTTGCGAAGGTTATTATAATAACGAAAGAGCTTAACGAACCGATCGTTTTTAAAAATATTAAAGTTATTATAAGTTTCTTTGTTCTTTTTAATAAAGTCGATAATATTAATATTATTAAAGCAAAAAGCTTTTAAAGCACTTAGCAATAGTATGCTAGCAATTATAAAAGCGTGCAAGATAACAAAGTCGATTATGATTAGTATAAAGCTTAATAAAAGAGCAAGAAAAAAAGGAATAATATAAGTCTTAAAACCGATATTAGTTTTAAAAAGCATTTTTAAAGCAAGTGTTTTCGTTAAAAGTAAAAGTTCCGATTAAAAGTCGAAATAAGATAAAGATAATCCGAAGCTTACGAAAACACGACTAAAATATTTAATAAATTTAAAAGATTTTAACGAAAAAGAAAGTAATTCGGCGCCGACTTCGATATTGATAATTTTAAAAAAGTTTTCGATATTTTAAAAATCAAATATATGTATATGCTAAAAATGATCGAGTTAATAAAAGGTTTTTAAATTGTTTGATTTTGATTTGTAAATCGAGTTTACGAGCTAAATAAATGATTTTTATAAAGTATTTTCGATCCGAAATTAAAAGAAGTAGACCCTTTGCAAAAGTAAACTAATAGTTAAAATTAAAACTATAAAAAACTTAAGAATCAATTGATTAGCATCGTTAATAACTCCGGATTATATTAATTGTTTTAATTCAAGACTAGGCTGCTCCATGGGGCCCCATGGGGCCCCACGGAGTTTTGAGTCCTCCTTACGGGGGAACCCACGGGGGGTACAAAATTCTGCCCCTCCCCATGGGGAAACCCTATAGGGCGTAGGGTTACTCCATAGGGTTTATATACATAAAAATATGCATATGCATAATTACTAATTAAGTTTATTAATCACATTTACTAATCACATTTACTAATCACATTTACTAATTACATTTATTAATCACATTTACTAATCACATTTATTAATCAGAGACTTAAAGTAGTGGTCAAATTTACTAGTTACAAAGGCCCAAGGGTTTGAAAGACCCGTTCTTTAGCCTAAGTCTATTAATTACAAAGAGTTGATAAAGACCCGTCCTTTTGCAGTTACGTAGAATACGTTCAACTCGGTCTTCGCTTTTGGCCTAAGTGCTTGCTTGTAAGCATAGTTCAGATAAATCTCGTCTGACTCAAGTAGCTCTCTTAGCTTTTGGCATTTGTTGCTCTACTTAAACTCATTTTCATTCGAGAACTTGAGGGTGAAGCGTTTGTATGCTAAGGTGCTATCGATAGTGAAAAGGTATAGCATCAATAGCTCTTTTAAGATGCTTTTAGCTTCGGTATAATCGTTATCGAAAAGCTTAAGAGTAAGATCACTTAAGATCAATCGAACTTTGACATCCTTATAAGTGAATTGCTTTCCAATTAGGTTGAGAAAAGAGACAAAGTAGTCGAGGAGACAGAGGACTTAAGCGTTCTCTTTTTAAATAAAAAATCAATTAGTGATCATAGTATATAGATATTATTACTAACCTTATTAGCACCGTAATGCTTGATGCCGAACTCGTCGATAAAACCTTTGCGACCCTTTTATTCGTAATCGAAGCCGATTGGTCTTAGAAACAAAGCGGTATCTTCCTCGTCATAGCAAGTAAACATTGAATTAACAACGTTACTATCAGCATAAACGACTACGAAATCCTTATAGCGACTAAGTATCTCGTTGATTGGCTTGTTGCTACCGGTGCCAAAAGGGTTGACCTCGACTATAGCGTTATAAGAGAGGGGAATCGACATTGCTAAATAAAGAAAATAATTAGCTTAAAGCAAGGAATCAAAAAGCAAGGAATCAAAAGGAAAATAATTACTTAAGTTGAGTGTGGTTATAGTTGAGTGTTGAAGTTGGTTGAGAAGTTGGGTGTTGAGGTTGAGAAGTTGGGTGTTGAAGTTGAGGTTGAGAAGTTGGGTGTTGAGGTTGAAGTTGGGTGTTGAGGTTGAGGTTGAGAAGTTGGGTGTTGAAGTTGAGGTTGAGAAGTTGAATGGAAAGTAGTTGTGGTGATGATGAAAAAAGAAAAGGAAAAGGAGGGGGAGCGAGTACTTATATAAAAATAAAAGTGTAGCTTAATCGTAATCGGGGCATTGCTTCGATTTATTAAAGGTGAATTATAATATTTGAAACAATAAATCGACGCGGAACAAAGAAAATAACGCGTTTTAAAACAATGAATCGACGCGGAACAAAGAAAATAACGCGTCGCTTAATAATAATCGATGCAATGCCTCGATTCAACAAAGATGAATTACAATATTTGAAACACGAACTCGACGCGGAACAAAGAAGGAACGCTTCGCTTAGTAAATCTGATTAGTAAATCTGATTAGTAAATCTGATTAGTAAATCTGATTAGTAAATCTAATTAGTAAATGCTGCACGGAAAGAAACCTTGCATGCTGCACGTCCCTTTGCTACACGTGCTTAGCTCGGCTATAGCTCGGCTATAGCTCGGCTATGGCTCGGCTATAGCACGTGCTTTACCGTACGTAATCTGATTAGTAAATCTGATTAGTAAATCTGATTAGTAAATCTGATTAGTAAATGCTGCACAGAAAGAATTAACGTACTTAAGGCTGCCATACGTAACTTACGTAAGGCTGCCATACGTAACCC